AGGACATATTGACTTAAAAACTAAAATTTGTATAATTTTTAGAAAACTTATTTTATTTTAATGAAACTTTTATAGCAAAGTAAGTGGCCCATGGGCTATACAGTTATTCGATAAAATCTCCTTCAGCGGCAATAACAGCTTCAACTCTCTACCTAAAACATTTGCATGCTCGAATCACATGATCCTCATCTATATGCGTCATTACTCTGGTAATAGCTGCTCTGAGGGAATCAAGCGTATTATGGGGATGTTTATTGGTCTCCTATTCAACAACGCCCCATACATAATAATCTAAAGGATTAAGATCCGGGGAACTAGGAGGCCACATGTTTGGGGTTATGTGATCATGCAGATTCTCGGACATCCAATCTTGCGTTCTCATTGCTTTGTGTGAAGGAGCAGAGTCCTGTTGGAATACGTATGCCTTCCCACCACTCCCGCTGTCTATCTATATNACCACTCCCGCTGTCTATCCAAGGCTTCACAACTGTTTCCAAAGCCTCAACGTAGGCGGCGGCATTCACCCGAAGTCCTTAAGGAAAGAAATGGGGTGGCATGACGTATCCCTTATTGCTCACCGCCCCCAAAACTATGACAGTTGCCGGAAACTTTGTGTGCATAACACGAGGAACATCTGAAGGATCTGCACAGAGCCATCTATCATTTCGTCTGTTTATTTTTTGATCTTGATCAAAATTTTTTTCGTCAGAAAAAGACCAGAGCATATCCGAGATTTCAGGATGTTTTAACTTGTTTAGAAGTTGTTGTGCCCCAATGAATCGCTGTTCTCGAGTTTGTGCAGACATGAACTGACCTCTATGCATTGCGTAAGAGTTGTACTGGAGGTCTTCGTGGATAATGCGACGAATTGTGCACTCAGAAACTTGGAGATGTTTCGATATTCCCCTTATGGACTTTGAAGGGTCTTCATCAATAATACCCTGAACTTTTTGCACAAACTGTGATGTTCTAAATTTATCAGAACGTGCTTCATGTTTTTTACACTTGGCAACACTTGCCACATTGCCATCAGATGCTTCTAACTCTCGACGAACTTTGTTAACAAAAGATCTGGCGACTTTCAAAAATCGGGAGATTTCAAGATCGCTGTGATTCGCGTGTATAATGATGATAACAGCGTGTCTTTTCATTTCCTGAGTTAGCTTATTGTCTTCCATTTTTAATTTGAGGTAAAAAAAAAATTAAATCAATTGCTATGAAGTGCCAAGCACATATGTGAGTGTCCTCAAATACCTGACGCACCCTGTATATACTCAAAACTTGCCTATCGGGCAACGTGTACTTGGCTATCGGGCAACGCGCTGCGTGATAACACGGGGCATACATTTTCTGCTTCATTGATATAAAATTAGATAGTACCAACACGGTACTTGCATGACGTGTTGAGCATAGCATGCACTGACGTGCCGGCAC